CAAGTTCGATTACTTGAAAAATTCGGCGATTGTTTTCTTCTTGGTCAGAGGAAGTTCAATTTTAGTAAAGATGGTTGCCGGTAATGTCATCATTGGTCATCTTCTGCTGACTTAATTTGATGTTCCACAACTGATGTCGTTCTCCTTCGGCTGTTCGACGCAATGGATCTGATGCCAAATGTGGTTTTGTGGTAATAAGGAGGACGACGAACGGTGATGGATGGCAGTGTAGGCGGAGAAAGCATTGCCTTAGGTTTTTTTTTTTTTTTTTGGGAGAGAAAGATGAGGTGAACGTCGAGTTTTTTTTGGGTGGCAGTGGAGGCGGAGCCTTTTGGGTTTTTCTTTTATATAAATGTTACTGGGTGAGGCAGATGAGGTGGATGACGAGGACAAATGGGGGATTTTGTTTTGATTAGTGAGAAGTATAGAATGATGTCGTTTATCGGTTGGGGGTTTTCACCACAAAATCTCACGGAGAAGCCAAAAACGACGTCATTTTGGATGATTAGGGTTTTATTTCTCAAGAGCTTACGGATTTTTTTTTTCTTTTTTGGATTGGGATGTATTTATGAATTTCTTTTTTTACCCCTAATAAGTTGCTGACGTCATATCAACCCCATCCGACGGATGAGATCGCTTTGACTGTGGTCCTTAATATTTCTTAGTTATTATTTCTTGTCTACTGTGCCTTTTATTTAAGTATAAGGAAAAGGGATTAATACCATACAAAGTAGATAGGATTAAACATTGGAAAATTCATTGATGCTTTCTGTCTCTAGACTTTGCCTTACTATAGTATATAGATATAGATTTGAAGAATTTTAAATAACAAATTATTCCCTAGATTTTATTAAATTATAAAATATCCATAATATTGCGAGTCAACCATGAATAATAAATCATTTAAAAAATAATGTAAACAATTTTTACCCTCCCATTTTAAAAATAACCAATCTCTTAGTTTACATTTTTTTTTTTGAAAAAATTATAATTGTTTGGAGAAAATCTCTTAATTATCTTTATATTTGTTTCTAAGATTTTGTTTAATCAAGTATTTAGATTTTTTTATCCTAAGTTATAACGTAAAATTATTAATATGTAATGGTAATATCTAAGTTTTTACATCAATTTAATTGAGGTTCTCATTTTCGTGTTACATCAACATTTTTCCTCTATTAATATGTATAGCTTCTTTGTCACTAGTGGATGACCCATGCGTCGCACGAGGATTATGAAAAAATATATGTATGTTAAAAACTTGTTTTGTAAAATAAAACTCAATGGTTTGGTAGATAAATTTTTTTACAAAAAGTCACAGTTGTTTCGTTTTCTCGAAATTTTAATCGGAGTAAATAACTCAATGTCCGATAGATCGGAGGGTAGAAGAGCAACATGCACCGAAAATTCATTGACGTAGAAAATTGTAGCACGGAAGAATTTGTCCACTAATTAAAGATAGCACAACATGAAACCCAAGATCCCAGGTACGGTAAAATGTCTTTCGTTCTGTTCCATAGAAACCAACAATTTCACTTTGATTTCTAGACGGTTTAAAGTGCCATATCACTTCACCACCATCCACAAAAACACAATCATGAGGCCTTGTAAAGGAAATTAAAGACCAGAAAGTAGGTGACATCATCTACATTCATAAAAATGAATATCATTAGCATAACGTATTTATCTCAAGACAACACTTTTTGAAATCATAGTTATACTTATTGGTATTAAACTTACAGCATTATTGTAGGAGCAGTTGACAATCTCGAGGCAATATCACACTCCTCATGGTAAAATAGGTTGACGACGAACATCAAAATTCTGACACCTTCCTCGATCATAAACGATGAATTTCATGATATACTCTTCAACAACTACGATGTGAACTTTTGCACCGTGAATAAGATTGATGCTATGAATAAATTCCAAAAACCTATCACTATAAAACTGTCCTTGGGCCTTACGGATGATATGAAATTTAACATATAAATCTCGAAAATCAGTGCGCAGATAGACATAACCTTGTGGATTTCCTCTATATAACGATGGCAAACAACTCGAAAAGTATCTGCGAAAATAAAAACCATTAATAAGTGGTTCTTCAATCCAGTACAACATTCAAAAAACAAAAACAAAAAATTATGACGGAGATTATTACTAAACCATCGGTAATATTTTCTGGTACTATGCGCATGTACTCCACATCCATTGAAAGTGCCTGCATTGAACATAAACATGTACGATTGAATTAAAAAAAATCTGTATGAAAGAAACCGGTTGAATTTAAAAAAAAAAAACCTCTAAGAAAGGAACAAAAGTTTCAAAGGAAAATGAAACAGAGAGACATACCTGATTATTTTGAAGTGTTTAATATCGTGGAGTTTAAATAGAACAATATTTAACAAATCTCATATAAGATTTAGGATAATAGTAATTTAGGATAACTTAGACTTTATTTGAGCTTTCATTATTAGATTATTTATTTTAAAAAGTTGTTGCGGAAAGTTAAAATAAAGTTATCTTGTATGGTTAAGATGTATTGTAATCATGGTTAAATCTATTCTTTTTACTTCCAACTTACGTGAGTTTCCCATTTGATACCAAGTACGCTATTTTCATCCGGTATTAATATATATACTAGATGCTTGCCCCGGGCCAATGCCCGTGGGCGCTTGTATCTTAAAATTGTTAAATAAAAAACTTATAAGTGAAAAAGTATTTTTTAGAGTAATAATATGTATAATATAACAATATAACACAGATCACTATAACGTGGAATTTTGTACATGTAAGTAAATAACAATTATACTCGTACAAAAAATTCTTTTATATTTTACCCGCTGGTCATGCCAGTTGGCTAATAACAAATTACAATATTATTGAGATAATATCTCTTGAATTGGATACAATGGAGAGCTGATCATCTTTTACTCCCCCGGCGTTGATCTCCCGTGATAGCATGATGGAATCTACTTGGTTTTCCCATTACTATGTTTTAAGTCAAATTTTAAGGATTGATGTCTTCTTGATTGAGCCAATTATCTGCTGGAGCAAAAATATTGAGGGGATCGCCTTCATTTTCATTAAGCCAATCGTATTACTTTGAGCAAAAATACTTGATTGAGGTATTATATATTTTATTGAGCCAATTGTATACAGTATCCAATTTTCATTTAATCATTTTATATTTATGGAGATTTGGGAGGCGTTACTCGCAGTAATGTTTCACGTGATTTAAGGATAACTTTTTACATTTGATTTTATCAACTCAAGTTTTCTGTTTTAAAGGATTAGTATATAGCTATCATTAAGGAATTAGTATGGAGCGATAATTAAGGGATTTATTTATTTATTTATTCTATTTTTTCTGTTTAGTTAGAGTGACACATGTTTTGAGAAGCTTCTGGAATATTTGGTAAGAGTTTCTCTGATTTTGTTTTCTAATAGTTGATCGAAATTCTATTTGATTGATTCACCTGGTAGTTCTAGAGCATTATTCCAATCTTATTTGAAGGATGAGAGTGACTTTGGCAAGGCTTTTATGTTGTTTTTTTTTTTTTTTTTGGGTAAGCCGCATCCATCAATCAATTAATTTCTATAGATGATCGACTTTGGCCGCATCCATTATTATATAGCTTCGAATTTCATTTTCACTACAGTTCTACTCTTTCCAATTATTTTTCCCTTAGTTTGCTCCTCTAAATTTTGAGTTTTTTGTAGTCTTTTTTTTTATGGAATTTAATTTAATATGGATGATGAGAGGCTTCAATGTCCGCCGATTAATCTTGTCCTTCTTTGAACATGGATTCTTATACTTCTTCTGCAGTTGAGGAAACCCAAATATTTTAGGCGGTGATACTTCATCTTCCTGGGGTTTTGCTATTGAAGAAAGAAAGGGTTATTGCTAACGAAGAAAGAAAGGTTTGTTTTACTAACAATGTTACTGTTAGTTGTCTTTTCCTTGCGGTTTTGTTTTTTAGATAATTCCAGCTAAGTTTGCTATGTTAAATAAGCTCTGGCCTATTAGCCTTTTCTTGGCAGAAGTACATTAGCATTAGTTCCTACATTGAAAGAAAGTTAACGGTAAAGATGATGGCTGATAAGAATTCAGTCCAATGAGTACAAAATTCAGATTTGATACACTGTTTGGGAGAACTTAACTCTCATGTCTTTTAGTCATTTATATTCAGGTTTTTTTTGTAAAACCCTTCTTTGTGTGCCTTTGTTCTTTTGTAAAAAGCTATGTATATCTCAAGAAACTTGCTAAAGCAGAGTATACATACTTAGGAAGTGCAGAAATCAGATCTGCGGTCCTCTGTTGCAAGACCTTTTTCTCTTAGTTTGCTAACTTTTTCAAGGATTTTTTTTATATGAATATCTTCCTCATTGAGTGTACTTTATTCTTGTTTTTATGGATTTTAAAACGGAGCTGTCGATTGTCCGAAAACTTGATTTGAACAGTACAAGTCTGAACTGAAAGTCTAAAATTCAGATTCTGACGTTCTGTTTAGGGGTTAATTAATCCTATTATTATATTTGTTTTCTGAGGTTTCTTTCCATGGGAATATATTACATTTGAAGGGGTTTATTTCAATTTTAGCGGCTCGTAAAAAGGAGTTATGGTTTGAAAGAAAACTCGATTTGAACATGATCTAAAATCTGAAAGTTAAAGTAAAAAAAATCCTGGTTTGATGTGCGGTTTTAGGAGATTTATTTCTGTTGATTTCTGAACCTTTGAAACTTGAATGAAACTTGAATGAACTTTGATTTGCAATTTTAGATCTGTCTGTGATCAGTTCTTGTTGGATGAACTTTTCTCAATTTCCTGTTCTTTTAGTTGACATCGTGATTGTATAACTCCTTGTGGGAATACTTAAATTTTCTGTGTCATTTCTTAGGATGATTTCTTGAGTTGAGATCTTTATTGAGGTGTATGAGTGAACAGCGAGTCCCCTAGTATATCGTTAATGCAGAATCAATGTGTTCACTCGTTTTCTTAGTTCCCCAAGAAATAGTTTTGTGCCAGAGGAGCTTACTGGAGTATGGATTATAGTATCTGTCTTCGATTCTGTAGTATCTATTACATGATGGTGCCAATTCATTCATTTATTTTGAACAACTTCCTTCATTGAAGTTCTGTGAGACACAGTGGGAACCAAAGAAAAACATAGTTGAATTGTATGGAATAGGTGGGTGAGACTCGTCAATTTTCAAAGAACAAAGGTTTACCATAAGGGAATTGAACTTAGCTACATACCATGTTTTTCTTGGCTGTATACTTATTTTACTGGTGGGGGTGTTACACCTGTCAATTGCAGACCAGACTGATTTCCGTTTGTCCCTAATGAATTCACGGGTTCAAGAGCACTTACTGTTCTGTTGGCTTGTAATTTGATGACATATCTGGAGAGAGCTCTTGCATACTTAATGGTTGACCATTTATTGTTTGTTAATGAATTTGTAACTTGAAGTATCTCTATGCCACTTCATTGCAATTAGATTAGTTGACGGTATTATGTTGCGGCTGAGATCTCTGTTGATGCAAAAGCATCATGAGATTGAGTGAAGGTTTGTCTCAGGAATGTTGTGTAGGTCAATGCTTGCTGAGAACTGGTACATGTTTGCTTATGGTTGACCCTTGGTTTCTATCCGGATTCCTTCTCCTGCTTGTAAATAATATAACCTTTTGTTTACACCTTATCGCAGGTGTATCTACCGTGTTTGCAAGTATTACAAGGACATCCAGAGCATGGAGGAGGTGGAGAAGAGGTACAAGGACTAGTAAGCTTTCTTGCCCAGATTCCACTGTGGGTAAGGATATACCAGACTTTCTTTAGATTTAATACATCAAAATTGATTGTATAATGTGACCCCATGTATTCACGTTCTGAGTGAGAGGAATCAGTTGTAAAGTAATGAGTTTCTGAGTGAGAGGACTCGCAGTTGTCGTGTAGAGTGGTTTCATGTACCGGTACGTTGTCATTTCAACTTTAGATTCACAAAGAAACTTATTGCAGCGTTCGTGCCCCTTCATTGTAGTTCTGGATAATGTAGTTCACTTTCTACTATGCTGGTGATTTTGTTGAGATTTTTTTTCCCCCAGCGATAAAATCTTCTATAGCTTTGAATGTATGTTTTGTCGTGGAATAGTGAACTTAAAACATAGTTGTAAATGGTGTGACAAATGACCAACCCACAGCCATGAATGGTCAATCTGGGACTGATTTTCCAAGCACGGGGTTTGCCTTCCTGATGGAAGACTTGAAAAACCCCTTTCAACCAATATTGTTGCCGGATAAGCTGCGTTTAAGACAGTTGAGTCACCTGGATTTGAGCCTAGCTTGTGCTCTAAGCTGCGGTCAAGGAGTGAGAGGTTGATTCCTTTTATGGTGCCTCTTGTATCTATTGGAAAATAAGCTCTTTAAAACATGCGTGATCTCCTATATCATAATTGAAACCCAATGTCGATTCCTGCAAAATTCAGTCTGAATGGAGATCGAAATTGCAACCCAAAGTCGCTTCATGCAAAATTCGGTATGACCATTCAGACTGTAAGAACGAATGCATTTTAAATGGCGCTCCGCACCAGACTTTTGTGTGCTCACCTAGCCATTCACCGAATAAATCCATTTTAGCTTATCTGATTTTGTTATATTCTGCGTATGGATGCATAAGTATATAGGATCTTCTCAACTACTCCTGCTGGAAGCCCCAGGTATCAATAGGCAATGTGATTTATAACAAATCTTTGCTTTGACAATCTTTCCCATTGGAGATCTGCGCTAACAGGGATTGGACAATTTCTGAAAAGAAATGATATACAGAATCAATTGCCTGCATTTTCGGCTACATTGATTAATCAAATTGCCAGCCCTTGAAACTGGAAAAATTTTCAAGGGCTGAATCATCCAGTAATTATATACAGTTTGTTTTAATCTTGTTGAATACTGGGTGAACTGGTACTTTCTGAGCTACCAAACGAGTAGTCATCAAACATCACATACATATTTCGAGTCTCATCATCCCACTTGATGACTTCAATTACGTAATTCAAAGCTTCTGGTCGCGAGCTCGTCTGCCGAACAAAAAGCTTCTTTCATGTGATGGAAGTATAAAGCGCCTTAAATTTCAGACCTTCAAATATTTCATTCCATCTGCAGCCTCCAAACCATCCATTTGATTTGATATGGATCAATTGATAACTGAAATTTTTTCGATACAGAAAACAACATAGTTAGTTTTTGAATAACCCAATGCTTAAAATGAGAATCGATGCTATAAAGAATGGGATTGAACTAGAAAAAATTGATATTCATTACTTAATATCTCAATAGCCTGACAAAACAATGCATCAACAACTTCGTAGCTAACAATGCATTAGCAACCTTGAAGGCGACTTTTGACAAAGTAATGTAAGCATAAAGGTACCAGATGAATATTACAAGCCCTTTAAGACAGTTCTTGTATTTGAAAAACTGTTGAAATTATTATAGTTTACAGCTAAGATCAAATACTAAAAACAAACAATTTAACAGTACACGTTTGGGTCATGGGATTGAACTAGAAGATTGCAACAGCTCATGCTAAAGTGGATCCGATTGAAGAAAGGATAACAGACCCGGAAAATCCCCAAGAATTTATTAACCAGGGGACTTGCATCCTTCAATTTAAAGTATTGAATGGGCAAGACTACTAGATTTGGAAAATGTACGCAAGCACAGAATCCCTTTAATTATAAGACAACAAAGAACTCTCTTCAGGGAGCTGGGAAAAAATAAAATGAAATTGCAGAAATGTCATATTTAAACATCAAAGAAACCGTTGTATCATTTCATAAAACTAACAGATAAACTAGAAATTGCAGTCATCTCTGAACTAAGATAGAAAAAAGATGGAATACAAGCACTTACCATCCACCTCAATTCCCTTTGGCACAAAGGGAACAGAACCAGTAGCGATGATTATGTCTTTGACTGTTATTATGGTACCCTCAGAGCCAGCTTTTCTATATTTTACCTTTTGTGGTGCCTGAAAACAACCAAAGGAAAGCGCTATAAGAAAAGCATAAAAAATGATTATTTCTCTGACAACAACAACAATTTAGACCAAAGAAACACATTTTGAGCAATAAATAAATTTACCACAACTGTCCCGACCCCTGTTACCATTCAAACAGCATCAACCACAATGGCAGCCTTGCTTGTTTTTGAAGCCCTTCCAGGTTCAAGCAGAGCCCCCAATTCCACAAACCTAAACATATCATATTCGTAAGGGACGGGCGGAGAAAAGAAAAAACAAAAGACAAATACTACACCCAAGAGACAAAAGCGTATTACATACTAGCCTATCTCTTCGTTGTTTCTCCCTGGATGCTTTTGAACTAGATGAAGCACATGACTCAGCTCTTGCCATGCAACAAAGGTGATATTAAAATTACAGTGGCTTGTCAATTATATAGAAGTAAAATCAACTAAAACCAGAAAAAGGTGCAATGACATTAGGCAGCAACTCCAGAACACAAAAGAAAATCCTATGCCTAGCTGCAGCACCAAATTCTCAGACAATTAAATTCAGCCTAGATATAAATCAAAAGCCATCCGAGAATTAAAAGAGTCGGTTCCAATACCTCAAATCTAACTAAAGATCGAAGGAATCTTCAGCACAGGTTAGTGAAACTCCATTTCAATGCATCCAATTTCAGATTCTCATTTTCTTTTGCTGCAAAGCAAATATAATAAATAAGGAATAAGAATAAATGAACACATATATCATAAGACACTATAACTACCCCGCATCATATAGAGTGTTGGATGAGTATGATGGCAACAAAAGATTCACATAACAAACCTGCCACTGTGGTTCCTCGACAAATGGATTTTCACACACAAATGTTACAACATCTTCTGCCATAGCTAGTTAGTTTAGATATGAGCATAAATAGCCCTCTGTAGCTGTTTAATATTGGAATTGCATGAAAATACTATTAAATAAATAAGCACAAAGAAAGAAGTTATAAAACTTTATACATCTCACCTAACCCTTTATCAAATTCCCTGTTTATATAATTAAGATGGAGCAAAATCACTTTCAAAAGCTAGTTCCTACCTTTTCCTAAGTTCAGCCAGCATTATGGAGGTTCAATTAAGTAGTTTCCCGAACTTAATCATGCATACGGCACAAGGAGATTATGAAACCTCATTCTCCCTTAAAAATTGTATACTAGTGACCTGAGCCTTTGCCTCCCTGAACCTACGACCCCTGTCTCTTCCCTTTTTTTTTCGAATTGAAAACTAACACCAACTAAGAATCAAGGAGGAATTTTAGCATGCAGACTCCCTATTCTATCATATTATTTTTTTATTTTAATATTTTTTAACAAAACCACTTAATCAGGCAAGGCTTCATCATGCAATCGAAAAAAGAAATCGATGCTCTAATTCACGATGAGCATTCAATCCACAAACACCGACCGAATTATTATGCTTCTATACTCTGTGCAAAGGATTCCTCTTCCCACAAAGATTAATGAAGATAGAAGCAAAAGAGGAGCTACTCTTCCAGATTTTTTTTATGCCATTTGATCTAAGAATTTATAATTTAAATCACTAGAAGGAGATTAACATATTACCTCGATGAACGGAAGATTTAAGCTATGTTCCTTCTTTGAATTGTATCCCCAAATCGATAGCTATAAGCTCTCAGTTCCTTTTCTTTCTCAAAGCTCCCCGTGTTCCCCTTTTCCCCTTCAAAGAATTCAAATGGTTTGTTGTCAATGCGTGGGATTAGAAGGTGGTGGAAGTTTGGGCGATTTAAAAAAGGAGGATGAGTGGTGAGGGTGATGTTTCATGCCGTTTCGGAGGAGTTTGGGCGAAGACTTTCGACTTTGATTTATATTTTGTATTGTTAAATTCTTGACTGTTTTTTTTTTCCCACTCGAGTTTCACCTTGACTCTTATGTACTAATAAACCTTACTTTAGTGTTACTTATAACTTACGTTTGTGATTAATTATTACAATGTTAACCCAAAAAAAATTAATTAGAATTGTTATTAATTGATACGTTAGTTTATACATACTAATATATGTGGGACTCTAAAAATATTTATTCACTTGTAGAGTTATTAATTGATCCATAAATTAATTTAAAGAGTTTTTAAATTTATTAGTGGAAAAAAAATTCAAAAAATTTATTATATGATAAAAAGAAAAGTTAGTTGCAACCCTAGTATCATTATATTTTTTTCTATTTTAAGTATTTATTAATTAATGAAAGCATGGGACTTATACTTACATGTGAGATTTTTAAAAAACTTATCATCTTATAAATTAATTAATTTTTTCCAATTTTCTTGTATTCGTTCCGAATTAGAACTGAAAAAAAATATTATTTTCTAGAGGTTATTATAAGGGAGGTTCTAATGTATATCAACTATAATGCTACATCCAATCTATTTATAAAAGAATTTAAACATGATTTTTCTTAATCCTTTTTAAGAGACCACATATCTCTGTAGTGATTCATTTAGTCATGTTCAGTTGGAGCATTTGTTATAGCCTTTTGAAATAGATAGATTAGCTCAACAAATTAATTGGTCTACATGTCTAAACAATTCTAATAACGAAAAAAAAACACCATAATTTATTTTTATTTCCAAAACCTTAATTTGAAATAATTACATAGATTTATCACAATATAGTTAGAAATTTCACCTTCATATTAAAATACTTGAAAAATTGATTAGTGGTGTACCTAACACAACACAAATTAAACTACTAAATTTC